GGTGGCACGTTAGGCAAAGCCCAAATCAGGCTTTACACATTCATTTCATCTAGCTGATGGGGCTCTCCTGTTTATGTCTGGAGCAGATGCTGGGAAGAAAAAAAACAAAACAAAACAAAAAAACAACCCAAACAAAAAAAAAAAACCAACCAAGCAAACCACAGCCTCCAAATGAAAAACTGTCATCACAAAGCTCAGACTCTGCTGCCTTTGGCTTTGGTCTGTCTTTTTTAGGAACTCCTTTTAATCTCAAATGGGTTTGCTGAGGTTTACTTGGACTCCGGGTACAGCCTCCTACGTTTTTAAACTTTTGTTATGTCAATCCCAGTAAGTACTTTAAAGAGAAAATTCTACCTAAGGTTGGAGTCAATTGTACCAAAACTTCATTTTCTTTCTGGTTTTATTTTAAAAGCAGTTTGCCAAGAACAACAAGCAGAGCTCTGCCTTACGAAGAATGAAATTGTGCTACCCCAGAACTAACCTAACACTTATCAACCTGCAGCAGCTCCTGCAAAGAGGAGACCATGCCCCAAAGCTTAAATGAGGATCTTTGGGATGAGAAGAAATCACAAAAATGAATGTATTTTGCTAGGACAGATCTGAATATTTGGAGATGGCCTGCCATACCCACTTGTCCAATATCAAAAAGAAAGCAGTGCCTTTTTTTTTTTAAAAAAAAAAAAAAAGCTTCAAATCGAAGTTAAATTACAAAATTATCACAGATTGCAGTTACTAATTTTAACACAGAAGTTATTATGACTTCCCGGATTTCCTCCTTTCCCATCTTCTCCCAGAAACCCTCATACCACCAACACTTACTGTAAGAAATGTTCAGCAAAAGAAGGGACATGGTTAGCTGTACATGAAGTGTCAAGTCTTTAATTTTGTTGAAATTTGGGTTCATTGCATTAGGTCACACTAAATATGTCAAATCTCTGCTCTGAAGTCAGACTGCTCAAGTCCCCGCGCTTAACAAGTCAGCAGTCTTTGTTAGCTCATGGCACACAGAGAACTCAGAGACACCAAAATCAATCTTTAGGAGCCTTTTGCAAAATTGTTATTTACTGAATTCAACTTGGTTAATACTTACCTTTATAAACAAACCAGAATCCACAGACTTAATAAAACTGAAATCAGCATTGGCCCACTGGAAGTGCAACACAGTAACAATGATAGTAAACTGCAGTATTAATTCATACATCCTTTAATTGCTATTTTAATGATACAATAAATCTACTGAAGCTTTTAAAGATTATTTTTTTATTATGGTTTTATATATTTATATAAAACCACCAAAGCACTTTAAAGAATCATGCTTTCTTGTGTAATACATAAAACTAGTTTCATACTGTGCTTCTGAAAGTCTATCGTGCTGTTTTTCAAGTTATTTTACAGATGGCACATTTAAAAAAAAAAAAAAAGAACGGAAGCATGAATTTCTAGTGACTGCAATGCAACACAGCATCCAAACCAAGATGTTTCATTACAACTAAGTTAAAGTGTGAGTGCATTATGTAATAAACAATAGCAGTTTGGTCATTTTAATCTTAATTCTGCTTACAACAAAACTAACATTTGTGCTTCACGACCTAAAATCCCATGATATAAACATAAGTTCTCTGTTGTAAAAATCCCAACAAATTAATGTTTGAAAAGAAAAACATATCTAAAACAGGAGACCAAGTTTCAATCTACTCACTTTCCTCAAGAATTGTTATATTTAAGACTAATATGACATACAGGACACAATAAGGCACAATGGGTGGTACAAACAAATGAATACAGTTGTCCACGAAATCGTTCTCTTCCACAAATACTAAAATATGTACCGCTCAAGATAATTTTTCTCTTAAAAATGAAATACATCATTTTGTTATGAAAGTCCTATACAAAAATTTAAAATTTACACCATCTGAGCTGCCAAAAAAATAAAAAAGTGTATCAATTTTCCACAAAACTATATTTCTCACCAGCACATCCAGCCACTGGGAAAAAGATACCCCAGCACTCTGGAAAAGAAAAGCATTATTCCCCCTGTGTTTAAGACAAAAATATTGTATTCTGCATACAGTAGTGTATTATACTTAAAAAAGCCTAGCACTATTAAAATTACAATATTGATTTGGAAATTCTTGGTTCACTGCCTGGATGAAATAAGGCACTTTCTTCCAGTGGGCAGCACTTTTCACATACATGAAGATGATGAATCAGGTTCTGGTTAAAAACAAAAAGGGGCTCAGTGAGGTCCCAGAAGACGACAGGAACGTTTCAACAGCAGGGGAAGACACAGGAGGTAAAACCTGGAGATGAAACTCTACACAGAAGTGGTCACTCTGTCAATGGCATTATTGACCTCGTTTTTGTTTGAATCCAGTCCTTTAGCAGCATTCATATCATTCCGTAAATTCTCCACTGTCTTTTTCATGTTCTTTAATTCTCCAGGGTGTGGAGTGGCTCGCCTTAGAAGTGTTCTCTAAAAATAAACAGTGCAATAAGTGGTTTTGCCTTGTCTCTTTGAAAAACAACATACACTTTCAAGGCTTTAGCATTCACATACCAAATATTAGGTATTGACTTTTTTCTCTTTTTCCCCCCTTTGCCTTTTCTAACTACGATGCTCTATGTTGAACATTAATTTCATAGCTGCTTGTTTATGAAGACAGTGAAAGAGGTTTTAAGAACTGTCTAGGAGCAAATTTTTTCCTCTCTTGACCTACTAATCTGAAAGCCACTCAAGTGAAGTACAATTACAAGTTAAGATATGAAGATTCCTTCATATATATAGTTGGGGATTATTTTTTCCCCCCAAGCCATCCAAGTGATTTAAGATCACATTTCAAACAGAAAACATTCAGCTGGTTTTGAAAGAATCCCACAAGATCTCTTTACACTGTCAAAATGTTTGTGTGGAGCTCTGTACATCTTCCAGCCCCACCACACAGTTTGGCTCTCCTGTCAATTGAGAACAAATATCTGAAGAAGAGGCAGCATTTCTCTCCCATCTTAGACACAAGAACGTCTAACATCATTGTGCTGAAACCTCTACAAGGAAAACAAAATTTATGAAAACCCCAGCTACCATCCAGAGTAGAGACCAACAGAACACCAAGAATAATTGCACAAATATGTATCAGTATAATACATACATATGTGCAATTACTTTTCACTGGTATAAACGTAAACTGGGCAGATTACAGCAGAATTGATGACCCACAAATAGGTGCATTGGTCAAGACTGCTTTGGAAATCTGCCCTTCCTCCTCCCCAGTAGGATTGTAAACTTCTTTTTCCCCTAAAAAGGTTCTTGCCTCAAGTTAAGCTGTAATACCACGACTGAAAGCAGTTATCATTAACACCTGAGCCCTCATTATTGTATGGACATCCTCTGGTTGGCACAGTGGTTAAGAAGCATCCTTCTGAACTCCCTTATCAGGCAGTCTACAAACCACACTTGGCAGAGACATTTAGTTTCTGCTGCTTTCGATTAAGAAACCGCCTTACTTGAAAAACTAAATGTTCATTTCCCTACTAACGAAGAATTGTTACAGCCACTTCTTAAAGTAAGACCATGTTTCTAGTGTGCTACAGTCCAGAAAGTGCCCTGAAGTATCTCAAGCTGAGCTCTAATAAGGACCACCCACAAGTTTTTAGAGCATCAGAGAAGCACACTGAAAATCAGATTGAAGTAGTCTTAATCTTTACAAAGAGCTTTAACTGCTAATGAAAGCTAGTAAAGCTACAGATCACATTGCATTTTGATCTTCAGGACATGCAGAGCCGAACTTAATGGAGAGGTCTTATAAGTACAGTGACAGGTGTTCCCACATCCTTTGTTTAAGTGGGAAACTAATGATCAACATTCTTGTTGTTTATGGACACTATGGTTGTTTCAATGCAAATGGTGGAGGAAAAAAAAAAAGAAGTAGCAAAGAGAGAGGGGAAAAAAAGAGATTGGAAATAGAAATTAGAGAGACAAACAAGGCAAACTTAATGGAGACACATGCCAGGGTGCTGCAGTCCTAAATTATACCCTCCATACTGGCAGGCAGTAAAGCTTCACAGATGCAGGGAAAGATTGTATCTTGTTTCTGGAAATAAAGCATCCTGAGCAGACACAGAAAAACAAAGCAAAACAAAGACTGTCCAGCATCATAAAATGAAAGTTATATTCAAAGTAGGAAAAAAAAAAAAAAAAAAAGAGCATTTTAAGTCAGAGTGAAAAGCTTCAGCAGTACACATGAACAGTTTCTGCTACAAACATATGCAAAAAGCATGCAGTCACAGCTGAAATATTTGCAGCAAGACAGCTCAGATACTTTTACACTTTTGTGTTAAAGTCACAGTGTCTGCAGGGATCCAGAGGCTTGGAAAACATACCATTTCATTATCGTCTTCATCTTTTTCATCTTCTAAGAAGCGAATTGCACTGACTCTGTTCACTGCCCGCTCGTTCCATGTTTCATCTGACATTTCATTTACCAAACTCTCCAGTGCACCACATCGTGGTAGGTTATCTGTTAGAACAGCAAAACATAACTAAAGATTCACAGCAAGTTGAAAACATCCAGGTGCTGTATTGTTAAAAACTGCAATATCCAACCAATCACTCATCTGAGATTTACAATTGGCTTTTTCTTTTTTTTTGATAGAAAACAAAACTTGCATTAATTTTCTGTTATCAAGTACACACAATAAACAGTTTCTGTATAAAAGAGAAATTTCTGCACTTGGACTGTTTCAGGTTTGTGGCAGTTTTAGAGTACTGATTATATAATTTAATACACTTGCCACCAGACATGCTTTTTTCCCCCGACCGTGGCTGCCATCTGACATTAGCCATTTCCCTAAATGGCATTCCATAACGCAGGATCATTGCTTTCACTGACCTCATCCTTTTAGTATTGCTAGCCATACACATCCAACAATCTAAATTCCGAGGCTTCTACCCTTGACGCCATGAGATTCGTTTGGACAGGAGGAAATCTGATTTCTAGTAGTGAGGCCTTTAGAGAAAGTCAGTCTGCCTCAGCTACTCTTCTTGAGCTAGCTTAATCTTCTCTAAATGTAGAGGAGTTAATTAATTTACTTATTTTAATTCTTAATGCAATTTGCATTCTTCAAATCCAGAAGCTGACGCAAAACAGCCACTTCTACACTTCTTCTGCTTTAATGGTTTCCATTTGCTCCAGTTGCAAAGTATTCCAAGAGTGGAATTAATCTAGATAAGTCTGGGTACCTACGATACAGATATCTACAGCTGAGCTTTTCTCTTCCGGCCCGCTTTGTACTCAGTGGAGAAGAATCCACGTGATTTCTTTTAAAAGTCTATTCTTGGATGGGATAAATTACTCTCCAGTGATTACAGCAAAAGTTTAAATATTAGCTCAGATGAATCCCCTTGAATGTTCACACATCGCTTATAAAAGCTCGAGGACAAAAAACATCCAGAAGTTACTGGAGCAGCAACCCAGCCAACGGTGAAAAAGAGTTTATGGTTCCACCTGACCCAGAGGCAAGTTTCAGCACAAAAGGTAAAAGCAACTTATACTGCAATTCTACACGTGTTAAAGAACATAATAAAGTTACTGTACAGTATCTTTGCTTGAAAGAAAATTAGCTTGCTAAAAACTAAAATGACTACTGTTTATTAGTAGCTATGCAATTATTTTTCTGCTAAAGAGATTGTAGATGGAAAGCCACCAATTTTCACTACATATATATGTATTTAAGATGTATAATCAATGGACACAAATATGGACAACTACTACTTGGCCCACTGGTAAGCCTCAGAACAATGATATCATCAAGAATTCTTCTTCCAGGTCTATATTTTATTTATTGTCATTTTATTTTCAATAACACTCACAGCCATGTTTTTCAACTGTTCTGAAAACTAGCATGACTACAAAAAGAAGTGTAAAAGTTAAAATTCAACCAGAACTTTGCCACTTTGCTCATTAGAGCTTATGCATGCTTTACAACCTTTATGGAACAGACAACACAGTAAACAAAGATGAAGTACTTCTACACATAATGAAAAACTGTCTCCAGGCACTCACCTTGGCAACCAGGCTCAGAAGGCATTTGAGGAAGTAATACACATGTTAAAATCTTCTCTCCTGTTTCAGGGTCTGTGTCAGTCTGAAACGTCAGCAAAGGTTGGGACTGGTTATCGGACAACCACAAAGCTTTCAGCTTTAAGGTAGTCAGTGAGAGGGGAAGATACGTCAACCTAGTTCAAAAAAGAAAAGTAAAAAAGTCAAGGCAATCTCCAGGAGATTTAATAAATAGTCAGGAAGTTGACTCTTAAGTATATATCCCTGAGTTGGAATAAACAGCATTGCAGTGTTCATCAACTCCAACCACTCCATTCTTTTCAAAAGAATCTGCAGCTTAACTTTATACCATAATTCTCTGTAGCTGTGAGTAACAGATAAAACCACGCTGAGCTCTTTCTACTGCAGTAAAACACCCTGGAAGGCAGACAGCTGCTTCTGCTCTGGAGCCTTATATATAAACAATTGCCAGAACACAAATATGTCAGTGCCCATGAGACAATTATATTGCATAGATGAGATGCCATTTGCTTTTCCTGTTTTTTGCCCCCCATTTAACTTCCTACTAAGCAACTGAACTCATTTGCTGCTTTACGCTTCAATCCACTCCTTTTTGCATTTTAATGTCTGAAGCGTATCAACTAAGATTCATGAGAAGCCACAAAGTGGAAGTGGCATTATTTGTTACTTGCACTCTATCTCTAACATAAGAAATTCAGTATGAGTGTTACCTGACATTAAGGCTGGTAGTTTCAGCTGAAGCTCTACCAAACTGCCTAGATTCTCAGTTTTAATTAAGAAATCCAGAGGTTTGTTTGTTTGTTGTTTTTTTTTTTTAAATCCTATCTTTTCCACAGAGTCAAAGCAATTCAGAAAATGTACTCACAACAACATACAATTTATGCTTGGGGAAAAAGGAGAAGACTACTTTGACAATTCCAACAGTAACACTAACATAAAAGTCGTAACTGTTTTTTTGTTACTTCATTCTCAGATGTAGTGTCTTTCGTTGTTAGAAAGAATTAAGTAAATCCAGCAAAAGAAAGCGACAATACAAAAATCTCCTACCTGTTTCCAGCAACATCCAGGACATGAAGTTCAGCGGCTTGTGAAATTTCAGAGGGAATTCGAGATAATCTGTTGTCACGTACAGAAAAGACGTTAAGACTGCAGCACCCCCCAATCTATATTAGAGAAGAGAGGGGGAAAAAAAAAAGAAAAAGTCTGGTTTTGTTGCAGTACGATAGTATAAACAAAGGCATGCAGTACGGGTCACGTAATATGTCATAGCGCATTCAAGTTATGATGCCTGCCAGACACTTCACCCAGACGTACAGACTGCAAACAAGTGTCAGCTTAAAAGAAGCCTGACCTGAAGCGAGTCTGTTGGAGCAGTTTCTTGAATATCTGTATCCGCAAAAAATGTATATCTTTACAAACAGGTCAGGTTCTAGCTACCCTGTAGAGCCTTCCACGCCAGGCAGAGATCAGTAACCGCACAGATGGCACTGTGTAGACAACGCCCACAAAAAATACTAGCTTTAATTTTCAACTTTTTCTAGCTCTATGTTTGACATATTAATTCTTTCTTTCCTCGTAGTAACTTTAGATACAAGCAAATGCAATGGGCTTTAGGCAGGGCAAAATGCTAAATACATCAATCAAGAGTCCACAGAGAGTAATGAAGTGTTCACAAAAAGTAGATGACTTTATGAGTAACACCTTTGATGCCATGTTTTATTAGGAGCATCTAATTTCAAGATCATTCCCAATTTAGTCTAATATCCTCTGTCTCTACCAGTTTATCTGAACGTATTCCAAAGCTAATTTTCAGGTGCAGAAGATGGGATTTTTGAGTCTTTACCTTTGATGCAAAATATAGATATTTTAAGGGTCATATTTTCAGTAAAAAAGAAACCCTCTACATCTGATTAAAAAACTCTCATTCCACCTTTTTGTTCCCAGATGGCAATTACTACTCCTATAAACACTGAGATTATTAGTTTTAGCAACTTGAAAGCTGCTTCAAGTAACTCTTTGTTCCTATTCACAAAGGAAACTTACCTTTGTTTGCTTATCATACAGAGCTTCAAAAAGCACTGCTATTTGTTTGCCAGTTCCAAAACTCACCATGAGAAGGGGAAAAAAAAAAAAAAAAAGTGTTTCTTCTCCTACTTATTAGAAGCCAAATATCCCAACACCTTTTGAAGCTTTCAGGTTAAGCGGACTTAGAACCTAACCACAGAAAGCATACCTACTGAAAGATCTCAATTCAAAAATTAGAGGACTTCTATAGTCACACACACACACAAGAAGGTTCTTCTGTCACAACACAGCCAACATGTCACTACACCTTGGTCAGGAGTCCCCAGATCTGAGCTGAAATTATTTGTGTGCTGTAATTGTCAGTTCTGTCTTTGCAAAATCCACAATTCAGTCCAAACCCAAGTTTGAGATTGCAGAAAAATACCACAAAAGCTTTTCTGTGAGTCAAAGTAAAAATTACGTCGACTTAACTTATACTATTGACCAAGAAAAAAAGCCATTTTTGAAAGGATGCAACTGTGACTGAGAAAATAAAACAAACAAATAGAGCACTTATACCCCACTCACCTTCCTTTGTGTCATAAATACATGTTAATGGAAGAACACAGCAATCAGCTGCTCAAGGCTTCTGATTCACAAGCTATTCACAGTGCACAGTTACAGCACAGCATCCTCTTGACAAAACAAAATCTGGGATGGTTTCCCTTAAATCACTGCACTTTAAGATGCAGCTATTTCAGAAGAGTGTCAGCTGTCCCATCCCTGAGTGTACGCTAGGAGCAGCAACCTTCTTGGCCATTTTGGCTTGTGAATCAAAGCCTTTAGAAACCAGTGCTCAAATTGCAAGCAAATATTTCTTAGTACAATAACTCCACTATTCACTTTAAAATGTGTATAGATTGTTAAACAATGTGCCTCGACACATTCAGAGAATACAGTTCCATATAGGAAAACAATTTTTAAAAACAACAAAACCCAACATATATATATATATATATATACACACACATTAAGTGTCTACTTGGTGTATCTATCATGAGGAGCTGTGAAAAGCAAGAGAGAGAACTAGTGAATGCTGATGAGCTGGCAAGTGATGCCCTAACTGACACAAAGTGTTCACTTGTCCATGAATGAAGTTTGTGTTATTCAGTCTTGGAGTATGGAGATCCAAACAGTTTAGCCAAACAAAGTAAAGCCATGCAGCCCTGATGAGACCAAAACTTCTATACTTTTGACAATGGAAAAATGCAGCAGTGGAACCGGCCGGCCTGAATCATCATGCATTTAAAGCAGTTTAATGAAAGGTAACAGTAGAACCGTGGACTGAATAATACTTACAGGGTTATCAATTTACCTGACCCATAATTTTCCAAGCGGCTAACAATCAAGAAAATACAAGAGATGTTCAATTTATTTTTCTTTATCCATACTGGACAAGAGCATGCCAACAACTGGGAGACAGAACATACATTCTTCTACTGCCAAAGACGGATAGAACTCCTAAGTTATTTGAACTTCAATTATTTTAACTTTGCTCTATCAGTCAATAGGCAATTGTTCAAAGGTGTTGTTTCGTTCAGAGGTAGTGAAGACTTTTTTTTTTTTTTTTTAACAGGGTAGTGGGGGAGATAACAGACAGCTACTGGGTTTTTTTTTTATGAAACTGTTTTTGGAAAATGCAGGCAGCATCTAACAAGCAGCATCGGGTGAGATATCACACAGGGAAAAAAAGACAAGCTGACAGTTCGACAAAAAACTAAGATCTTTGTCATTTCAAAAAAAGATGGTACCCATCCAGCAGTACAGAAAGACATCAGGTCCAATGTTTGAAAACCTAAACATGAAGTGGTACCACTGAGGCAAAGTGCACAAATTAAACAGCATGCTGAAAGAAAAACATCGTTGTGACCACCAGGAAGTAATACGGTATCCGAACGCCGCTGGTTTGGCTGAGAGTCATTAACCGACAAAGAGCCATGCTTTCCAAGGGTTTGATCACATGCTTACAACAGACTTTGCCAAACCACCACATAGGCACCAAGTACACACTTGAGACCACAAGCCCATTTAACGGTTAAGCACACAGTTCATTTCGAGCACAGACTTCCATTAATGGGGACAAGCGTGCTTAGTTCCAGGCACATGAGTAACTGTTCCAAAGACTGGGGGCTTAAAGAAGTCCTCACGTTCTTCTGTAGTGAGCTACACATCAGGAAAAGGTTTCAAATGAGTTGTGCACGTCTAAGTCATACTCCTGAGATTTATTTCATTCTAGCAACTTTAATTTAATGGTTAGTCACTTGTCTCATCACACCATCTCCAAAGAACAGTCAGCCTAGATTTTAAAAAAAACAAACTAACACCACCAAAAACAAAACCACAAAAACAAAACCCACACATCAGTCAGGCAGAAAATGATCATTACTACAAAGTGCGAGTTTTGAGATCACTGATTTTGCAGTAAAGTCTGAACAAAACTGCTTATTTGTATTCAGGTGAACTTACTTCAGAGGATGAGCACCACTAGAACCCCTCTGGGTTCTACACAAAACTCTACCCTTAGGAGGACTTTTTTTGCTCTTTTCTTCTGTCTCAGTCTAAGGCTCATCTTTCTAACAGCTTCCTTGTTCTGGAGAAGCAGTAAGACTTGGGCATACATCACAGAACGGTCAGGGTTGGAAGGGACCTCTGGAGATCATCTAGTCCAACCCCAATCCTACACAGAGAGGATGTGTCATGGTTTGGGCTGCGAGAACTCCCCTCTATATTCGGATCACGACCAGCATTCACCACTTCAGCCTCCTGCTTTTTTGCCATCCACATACCCGCTGCCAGTCCACCTCAAAACAGTCCTCCAGAACTGCAAGTCTTATCACACCACTTCTCTGCTGATGTTTCTCATGACTCCTCCTCTCTCCTGTAGACAGACTGTTGTTTTGACACCTGCATCAGTTGTGTATTTTTGGTCACCTGACATTTCCTATGCTTCTCTGTTGCGATAACTGGGTGGTTGCGATTTGACTTTTCTTGCTGATGACACCGTTGCAGCTTTCTGGAGGTAAACCCAAGAAAAGTGTGCAGATTCATCCCTCTCCGCCCATTTAGATCCCTCCCAAAAACTCCTTTTTGGCCCCTCTCTTGAGCCCAGCTCTCAGATAAGTCATTCATCACCACAGACCAAATTTCACTGATTACGATGGCGCATCCTCACATTCTTGGTGCTCTAAAGCCAAAACACAAATTAAAGTTGGGAAACTTAGAAGACCTTCAGGTTACATCAGCTGAATAACATCTTTTGATCTCAGCATCTGTTAACTGCTCAAAAGCTATAAATCAATTCTGTTGTCCTTTACTAGTTAGCATCTTTCATACAGGTAGAAACAATGCAAAAAGAAAAAAAAAGACACTATGACAAATACTACCATGATTATTCTTCAGCATGTGACTAAAATCCTGTGATACATCTCTTATTCAACTCCCAATGCAGCTGTCAGCATCAAGAACTCTCACTAGGTTTATACAACTGATAAATATATTGGGAACTTAAACACAGTTCCTATTGTGTTGTAAAATCTTTTCCAGGGTGTAATAACCAAATTTCTGTTTGGATTCAAAGTAAATAAAGTCAGAATTTTCCTTGGTCCCAGATACAATAGATTAATTCTTTAATTGCAAGAACAGAATACATTTAGAGGTGGAAGAAACTGCTCAATTCACTATTATTAGCTATTATTCAGTTATTATTAACTTTAAATTGGCTAGGAAAACCTTTGGCAAACTCACTGCAACACCCCCTGCACCACCGGTGAATAGTATGGGAGGAGGAGAGCAGTATTACTTCTCTGCCCTCTGACTCAAGACAAGTTTTCCTGCATTTTTCCTTAGCACCTTTTTTCCCTTTTACTGCCAAAAAACCCCTTGCAGTTTTACCTACTGTAGTAATAATTCTCACAATATACCTCAGAGCCAGGAAGGACCCATTACCAGACCTCTGCAGGTTGTAGAGACTCATTAACAAAAGCACATGAACTGGAAAACATTCCAAGGAGGTTATTTATGCAAGTGCCAAAAACAACACACCAGTTTCACCAGCGTTCCAGTGCCAGGGTTGGATTTCAATACCAAAGAGTCACCAGGCAGGTCTTTCAAGTTTAAGGGGAAAAACATTTGTAACTATGAACAGGTTTAGACATTCTCAGTTCTTGCTGAAGTCTGTTTCACCACTCAGTTCAGTGAGAGAGGGTTCGAGCTGCAAGATGAGATGCTGAAGATGGAATCTGTCAGTGACTCAAGTCTTGGTCAGACATTCAGCCGTTCCATGTTTTACCTTATACACGAGCACCAGATACAGAAGAACCTTTGAACCAGGAAACTTTCAAGGGGTATTTGCACACAAACTCCGCAATAATCCCAAGTCAAGAAATCTTACACCAAAAGATAGAGACCGGTTTTACCAGTGTGCACTGAAACAATCTGGTAATGTAATGGTTTGATAGGTTGACCCCAAATCCAATCCTAGTAAACCGCTAACAAAATAAAAAAAAAAACACCCCTCCAAACAACCCCCTCCCCCAAACCAGCAAAAAACCCCCATACCACCACAAAAAAAGCTAGAACTCATAGGTTATCTCACCAGATTATACTACAGCAGGCATATCATTTCTGCCATCGTATCTATAAAAGCTCTCTTTGCTACACGAATAATTCTGAAGGGATGGACAGAGACACCAGCTGGTAGGTGTGATATTGGTTACAGGTACTCTCTCCCTAGTAGAGTTCCATTTTTTCTATCCATGTAACCAGACTACATGTTTTTGTCCCTCTCCACAGAAACCAGTAAAGGCCTGTCCCACACCCATTTCTCAGTAAGGGTGAAGACCACAAATGCACAGGTGTTCTAGCGCTCTGTGAGGCAGAGAAAGAACAAGAGAAAGCAGGAAGGAAAAGAGGGGGAAGATACCAACCATGAATCTCTGCAGTGCCTACTCTACTTCTGCATCTGGCTCTGCTGCTGCGAAGGGGGAACCAGCGTACAAGTACTAATGCTGACTGACGTGCAAAGGTCTGAGACCCCAATCTTCGCCATACTATCTCAGGAGACATCTTAAGCCATACACAGCAGGCAGGGTGTTCAAAATCACTGCTGTCAGAAGCTCGTGCCTGGCTTTAAATACTAATTAGTCAGTTTGAGATGAAAATAAATAGATCTCACTGTCAAGCAGAACCTTCCAACAGACAGAAAAACAGTGACACATTTTTCAGTTTTCCTTAAGTACTCTATCAATGCATTTGTATTATTTTTTTTCCAAGTCAGTAATGATGAGAAGGAAAATGAAAACTGAGTATTTCAACAGGACACCAAATTGTTCCTGCCATCCAAAGGGAAACTCAACATGGGAAACTCATGGGATCTTTATCATTATCAGCCCCTGAAGCTGCTCCTGTGGATGTTTTGCGTAACAGCAAACACTACTCGTGATACCTGTGCACTGTTTATGCAGAACATTTTTCTTTGAGAGCTATGGAATGTGACTCTTCACTGAATTCCTCTGAATTTTAACCAGAAAACTTGTACTACAGAAATGTTCATGTTTGGTTTAAAGCAAAAAGCTACTGGTTAAGAAAAGTACTACACAAAAAAAAAAAAAAAAAATTGCAGCTCCAGGACCAGACAAAACACGAGCAGAGAGCAGTAGATTTTTTTCGGTTTTCGAAACTAGCATTTCAACATTGTTAGAAGGTCATCTAAAGACTTTGAGGGAAAAGTGTTTTATTGCACAGCTGAAGCACAAGGAAATGAAACCGAAACCTGAAAAATTGAAACTGAAAAGTCTCGTTAGCTAGACAGTAGGTTCTGCAATACATGCATAAACAGTATTTTTGAGACAAACCATTGCATCAGTTGTTTATGCTTTCTATTTATTACTGTTACCACCTGGGAATTCACATCCACCGTTCTACAGGGTGGATATGACTCTCCAGCCTTCCTTTAAAAATAAAAAATAAAAGAATTTTAAAAATCCACAGAGCAAAACATACTTCAATGAAACATTCTGGAATTCTCACACTAACATATTTTCAAAGTGTTTGCTCTGATGACAAAGACGGATAGGTGGGGAGACCTTTACAGGAAAATAAAGAAGTCCGTTTCAGAGAAGTGGATGCCAAGGAGTTCCGTTTCCTCTGTTTCTCTGCCAAACTCCCAAGGAACCACCCTCTCCCATCTTTATTTCCAGGACTGTCTACAACTCCTCAGCTCACCTCATTCCAGATACCACCTTCCATTTCCTCATTATCCACCTTCTCCAAACACAGATTCATCCCTGACTTTATCCCACCCCCTGTGCAGGTGCCCCCTCCCCTCTGTCCCACATGCACTAATGTTCTCCACACATGTTCTTCTTCACTTCACCCTTTGATATCCCCAACTTCTTCACTGACTGAGCAACGCTTTCCACCTCCGAAACCCATTTCTGGTTCCCAGTCTCCAGTTTCTTGTCCAGCATCAATCCCTTTATTGTTCTGCACCGAGCCCTTGATTCTGTTATTCCTCCCAGAAAGACACATTCCATATTCACCCTGCTTTACCTGCTTCTGAAGCAGAGCCTTCTCCTCTCACCTGCTCCTGACCCTGCTCCTTCCAAGCCACACTGCTCACCCTCACGCATCATCTCCAATACCATGAACTTCATTAACTAAGAAAAGTGCTCATACACTACATAAGCTATTAATGGTCGTTCTGGAAATAAAGTGTATCAGTAAAACTTTACACACTACAACAAACTCAGAATATTTCTGCTTGAAGGTGGACTAGACACAAAATTGTACGAGTCTCAAGTACAAATAGTTTAGGATACGTGTAATGTATTAATTTAAGATCTTTGTAAAGATGTGGGAAGTCTTCTGCTGAATGAGCACAAGATCAAAACTGCCATCATATCCCAACCAAGAAACATGGTTTTCCCAAGGTCCTGCCTCTTGCTACCATTTATGCAACCCGTCCGAATATGCCCTCTGCAATTTTCTGTTCAGAACCAGCATCACCTCTGCAGAGGAGACACTGTCCTCCTGCAGTAGTCACATCTTCTCTTCCCTCCCTCACCTTCCTCTCCCATCAAACACACACTTACAAGCCAGTCTGTAAAGGAGCAATAAGGGCTATCACGGATCCCGGATCAGGTGACCGACCTGTCGCAGCTCAGACATGGGCCATCGGAATTGTTGCTGCCAGCGCCACAGCAGCATCCTTTGCCCCTGCTCAATCCCTCCTCTGCAGACCATTGGCTCTGCCCCATCTCCCGGTTCCCAACCACTTTGCTTCCTCCTCACACCTTCTCCTCCAGCTGTCCAAGCTCCGTAAGTAAGCAGGCCTGAGCACGAGTGTGCGCTCACTCCTCTCAAGTCCCATTCATCTGCTGCCACTTGTTCCTGAAGTGCCTGAAAGTGGTGAACAAATCTTATGACCTCAGAGTCACTTGTTCGAAACAGATCGGAAAATGAAGGGGAAGCACTACCTGGGTAAAAAATTAGAGAGAATCAGTAGCTCAAACAGAACCAACTCGCAGTCCCGTGCTCCAGTCATGGGATGCTGCTTCCCCCGATCTCTTTCCAGAATTTACTGCTGAACTAAACTAGTAAGGCCTTCGTTATATTTAGTTTCACAACAGAAAGTCTAGCCTCATTTCATTCTATATACTGTTACGATACACATGAAGTCCTAGTGATCATAGCTATAAGATTTGAGTTATCAGTGGCCTTGGTCATATCAGGTCCTCATATTTAAAGGCAAAAGTAGTCCTGAGAGCTCCAAAACAAAAAAGGCTGTCAAAACAGTCTCCAAATCATTTTTCAGAATATAAAACTTTCCCTTTGCTATTGCTCACAAGAGTGAGGTAAGAAAGACTCCATCAGTATTTTTACACTATATGCAGAAGAGGCATATTGATGGCCAAATGTATTCACTCTAACAGAACTGCCAGTCTTCAAAGAGTGCTGGACCTGACACCCACACTGGGAATGACTAGTTACAAGCTAATTAGATCCAAGCCTTCTTGTTCAGCTGCAAAGACATTTTGCACTTCCAAGCCACCAAATCACCACAGCTGCTGTTCAGATTTATTCTGTTCACATCTAATGAACAAGTTTCTGGTTGTGATCAGTTTGGGAAGAATACCCAGTGGATCAAAGCTGCCTGCTACTTCTTGTAGGCATTTGAAATCAAGAGTCTTCTGTTTGTGTAATCACATCTGTGTGAGTTAATTATGCAAAACTTACCTCTTTGGGCAAAGATGTTAATTTGTTTCTATCGGCATTCAAATTGTTCAGCTTCTTTAGTTTTCCAATGCTCTTCGGCAATGACTGCACCAACAAAAACAAAAAAGAATTTGTAAATTCACAGAGTCACAACAGAACTGATTTCACTTTAAAATTAATTAATTTTAAGAGACTCAATAGACTTATTCATAGATTTAACAGATTATTTATTTAATTTAATACAATTTATTTAATATAGTAGAATTAATAGACTGATCCATTTTCAAAATTGGAGTGTAGTTAACCCTCATTACCACCAGGCCTTCCAAAGGAGATCCAAGGTTTTATCTTGCAGAAGAAATGTCCGGGAATGTCAGTTTCTAACACAAATTCACTTCAGAGTTATCTCTGCACTAAGATTACAGATGCACAGCAGCTGTTACCAGAAGCACGTATGCAGAATGCCCATGTTACCTAACTTTAGGCTCCCTAAATAGCTAATCGAGGCAAGCTTCTAACTTAGGTGCTATGAACTGACCCCTGGAGAGGCATCATTCCAAGAGGCTTAAGCTCCGAACTCAACCAAGCACCAACCCAACTTAAGAAATGCTCACGCCTAGATTTTTGTAAACACTTCTACTCTAAGTGTCAGTGTCACATGAAGGCGGTTTCAAAATAATGGAAGGAGACACCTAATGGAAGGAAGTCTGAGATTTTATTTTAATTGACCCCATGCCATATTTAATACTTGGCTGGAGCAGATGAGCAGAGTAAGGAACAGTAAAACAGCAGCTCTGCAGTGTTCCAGGCTTCTATTCAGTTCCAGCAAGTTCGATCCAGATAATGCACAACAAAAATTCACAACAATGCAACGCAGCACAAACTCCACATTAAAAACACAACAAAGTAAGTGAAACCTGCACTCCAGGTGCTACGATTCCCTTACCGGTCATGAAAGATTCAAGAGTGAATATGTAATTGCATAGTCCTTTGGAAGGGAGGATTGCTACCACGCACAACTTGATCTTCAGCATTCATTTAACAAGTTAGAAATAAGATGCATTTAAAAAGAAACTCTCTACTTAGCGGTAGCAATGGTGAGCAGCCTTATGAGCTAAGTGATTCAGCACTTAGCAGGAGATCTTATTACCGCCAGTCACTTGAGCAGCCATGACCATGCTTACCTGCAGTTGGTTTTCTGTTAGAACTAATTCAGTAAGGCTTTCGCAGTCTCCAATTGAATCTGTTAGTTGAATAAGTTTGTTCTGATCAACCTTCAAAATGGAGAGCCTCCTCAATTTGCCTGGACAGAAAGAACACCACATTTGTTTAGCTTAGTAGGCTCCGATACCTGCCTTAATTACAAAAAATCATTCTGCTGCAAAACTTTTAGAAATCTTTTAACACAACGAAATACTTTTTTTTCATGTAAAACAAAGAATCCAAGCACTGCTTCACTTGCTGCTTGCACTATTTTTGCAAGTTTATAACATCACTGAATTAATATTAAACATATATTTATATCCAGCATTTAAGCATATTGCAAAGTCTACCCAAAGGCCTACAAACAGGATAAAATTATCTATTTTTTTCCCCTCAATTATAAATGTTTATTAATAAAGAAGTGTTCAGAAGATCACCTATGCCTACACAGCCACAGTAAGAAGGGCTTGCACTGAAGTGACAGCCCAAACCCAAACAGGATTGAGGTCTCTTTGTCCTAATATAGAACCCAGTTAGTCGGACATGAAACCCAAGTTTATTTTTTGGAACAGAAATCAAACTCCTTTGAAGGCCTTCTCCGCAGGAAGGACAAAACACTATTCCAGAGCAGAAAGCTCACCTTTTTCTGCTTCTTTGTACCATAATGGTCTTTAGTGCAAAGCAGAGCTGACCCAGGCAGAGCCCAAGGCAGAGAATTCAGGAGACACCACTAGGTGCTGACACCTCCCTGCCCACCCCCACATGGTCCAAAATAGCTGTAACAGGCTGGAACATCAAATTCGCTGATGATGCTAAATCATGAAGAGATGACTGATATACAGAAAGATGGCAACCCAAACAGAAACCCGAGGTTCAGCGAGGAAGAGTGCAGAGCTCCACACGTGGGTGGAATAAACCCATGCACCAGCACAGGCTGGGAAGTGATGGGCTGTACAGGAGCTCTGCTGGAAAGGACCTGGGGGCTATGGTGGGCACCAGGTGGAATATAAACTAGCAGTGAGTTCTCACTGGAAATAAAGTAAACACTGGATGGACTGTATTAGGAGAATTACAGCCAGCAGATCAATAGAAATTACTATATCTCATTTACTTGGCACCAGTGAGGCCATACCTGTAAAATCATGCTCAGTTTCATGTCCTGTCCTGTCTTCCCCTCCCTGACTCCCCAGTTCAAGTGAGATACTGATGGGGGTCCAGCACAAAGCTATCATGATGACCAGGGCACAAGTGAGCTGAGGGTCAGAGCTGTCTTTGTTGACTCCAGCAAAGAAGCAGCCAAGGAGGCATCCAGGAACAGCCCACAACTACTTGAAGGGCCGTTACAGAGATGGCAGAGCCAAATTCTTCTCTGCAGTGGCAGGCAATACAGCAATGGCCACAAATTGAAGCAAGGGAGGTCCCAGCTGGACATGAGAAGAAGCTTCCTCACTGGGAGGTGGTGCAGCACTGAAACAGGCTGGCCAGGGATGCTGGAGCCACCTCCATTAGGGGCTTTAGAGACTTGGTAGACCTGATCTGCTGGCGAGAGCCCTGCTTCAAGGGCTCCACAGATCCACCAATCCAACCAGGGATTCGGTGATCAGCTGAGCTCCTCCCAGAAGCTTCCACAGAAACCAGTGACATTCACTTCAACCACAATACCAGATTTTCTCCTTTTTGCATAGTAAGTTCCAATATTAGACAAAAGGAGTAAGTGCTGTAGCCCTACCCAATTTTCAAAACACAAGTAAGCTATTATATTCAGATAAGTAGCAATTTTTTTTTTTTTCCTTGGTAACAAAAATCACATCCAGAAAATGTTACAAAACACACGTGCAAACAAGGCCTGGCCAGAAACAGCCTGGCCCTTTGCAATCGCCTTCCCCGGCAAAAGACCTCCATTTATCAGGCTTCTCAAGAAGCAGCAGCTCCTCTTGTTCACCAGCTGGTGTTACAGACGAGCTCCCCTCCGTCAGGCTGCGTGGGCTGCAGCCTTTCAGAAGGTACAGCTCCATTCCTGATGTACAACAACTGTACTGGTCAGAGAGGGCTGCTACAACTCTCTACCAAACCCACACTAGTTAACTATAGGACCCACAATAATCACCCCGCTCCCCCAAGTACAACTTCTAGAAAAAAATTTATCTTTTCTTAGGCTCATACAGAGGCAAGGGGAAGGTCCGGCCATCCTTTTCCATATTTCTGGTTAAACCACATTCACAAGTCCTCCTTCCCCTACACCTTTATTTAAAAAAAAAAAAAAGTCCTGGCAAGGAGAAGGCACGCTTTTGCAACATGAAACTCTCCAGAAAAACAGCTGATGAGTCTGAGAGAAACAATGCCTTGCTGACTACTTGTCACAACTACTGCAGGGGTACAAACATCTATGTTAAAAAAAGCACTGGTAATGCTTCGGAAAACATTCCTCAGTTATTAAACCTCTTTTAAAGGGTCAGACACAGCAAGGCTGTAGTTTGGACCCTCAAGGGTGAGGAGCAACGGGGTGAAGCTGGAACAGCCTTCCACTGGGTTCAGTATAGGAATAATCACATTGTCCAACTGAAGATAATTACGCATCCCCACTAAAAAGGAAGTCTTTTGTAGTGATACTGTCAGTCAGTCTTATCAAGTGACCTACAGCATGTTACAAGCTAGAATTTTACAATGTTAAAGAGTTACGATGGTGACGTGGACACAGTAGGAACAGAGAGGATATATTAACTTTTATTTTGTTTGGGTAGGTATCAAGTGAAGGCCAAAAAAGGATTACAAGATAGTCATTATGCAGACAATTAAAATGTGAAATTAGAGCTATGCATTTCATACTAAGCAAAAAAAAAAAAAGCTGAGACAAGCTCAAGCTCATCTCTTGCACAAAAAGACTTCAAAAGACTTGAAAACAAATCACTTCCAATTTACCGTGGATTAAATGGTTCTGTGTGATAGCATTCATCTGGTACTTACCAATGCCATCAGGTAAGACCTGAAGTAAATTCTGAGAAACAAGCAAGTCTGTTAAAGAAGTCAGACCACTAATTTCTTCAGGAAGGCATTCCAATTTATTTTCAGAAACATCCAGACAAAGCAGGTTCTTCAGGTTTCCTACTTCCTGCGATACAAGACAAAAAATTTAAGTCATGCCCAAACACGTAAGGAAGCAATTTGAAAAATGTACCATTGCAATGAAAATCCAGAAAGAAAAACTATTCTCTGTATGACCTCTAAATTGGCCATTCTTTGTATGACCTCTAAATGAAAAAAAAAAAAAAAAAAAATTGTATTTTACATATGATAAACCAGCCAAGTGATTCAGTCACAGTTTTTTGTTCTATTAAGGCTGGCTTCAGTAGTCAGACAAGGTATGCTGAGCACACCCAGGCAAGCACCAGCCAAAACTGGAGTTTTCCTCCAGTCAAGACTGCAAAATTGTTTTTTCAGAACTACAGATTATCAGCTTTCACGTAATTAAAGTCTGCCCCTCCCAATTAACCCTAGGCAAATTAGGATTAGTTTCTCCTGGCTGATACAGCAACATGCCATGACATCTAGGGATTTCATATCTTCACATCTCCCAACTGCAACAAATGTAGAAATAGGAATTGGGAGTGTTGCTCTAGCAAGTAAATTTGAACTGCCAACTTATACTGCCATCACCTACAATTATTAATGAATAATTTTTTTACAATGGTAATCTGCCAATTAGCTTAAAAGTCTGACAGAGAAATACCTTTGTCCCGATTAGCCATCGGAGAACCCTCCCATTCCTCATATACACAGACACCCCTATACAGGCTCTGCAATAGTTCTCATTTTAGTCATCCAAATCATCTCTCGGAGAACAGAACAGCTGTGGCAGAAGTGTGCTTTACTTTTACATACATGAAATTTTCACACAGTGACAGCCTTGATCCTAACTCACAAGATCAGTTCTTTTATTTTGTTAGTGTTTGTCTCTCAAGAGGATCTTTCATTAAACACCAACACACACACATCCCTTATCCTACAAGTTCATCTTTTGGACATTAGACAAAATACACAGTAATGGCCAGCTTCAATAAAAGCAGTTGCTGAAGTCACACTTGACCTTTTATGAATGATTATCAGTGTTTAACTACATCTATTTAAAAAATTATTGGGCCAAGCCAACAACAACAAACCCAACAAAGTCCACTAAACTGTAACTGATTTCCAGGTTACGCTGTTGACAATGAGATCAATACAGCAAATAACTGCAAAGTGCATGAGGAACAGGGGAAAACAGGATTTAACTTGGCTCTAAGGGAAAAATAGGGAAATGAAACCATCCTACATGTTATCACAGTTCTTAAGAACGGGAATTTAGAGTACTGTAAGCTTTAAATGCAAAGGCCCCTCATCCCATGACTGATGTCAGATGGGGGATTTGCCTGCATAAATCAAAATTTCTATTTATGGCAACAGTTCTATCACTGTATTTCTCCCAAACACTGTATTTGAATGGAAGAAGGTGACTGCAAAAAAACCAACGACTCATCCTCAAAATTGTCAAAACTGCAACTTAGACACATACAACAGGGGAGAGTTAGTTCAGCCAATTAGTGGTTCCCTTGATCATTGGGCCAGGACTGTAAACAGAGGATGTGTCATCCTATAAACTGAACAATGTGCCTATCAGGAAACAATTCCTTTGCCAAAATGTTTAAAAGAAAATGTGCGAAAACATATGATATGATATGATATGATATGCAATCCTTCGCAGAGGAAATTAAGAGAAAATCCTTAGCCATCCAAGACCAAACCCAAGCAAAGTGAACTGAGAAAACTATTCAATTTTAGACAACCTCCCTTTAGGCATGAATGAAAAGGTTTTCTTTTAAAAGCATCTTCAAAACAGTATCAGTGGAGCTCATCTTTACCTGAGGTATTTCGGCTAATTGGTTTCCATCCAACCAGAGGTCTTTAAGATTGAAAAGTGCACCAATTGTTTCTGGCTATAACATAAAAAGTAATAATGTTAAGTAATCAGGAGCTTCAAGTAAAAACCGAATGGCCACCTCATAATTACAGTCTGAGTAAACCAATCCTTACGCTGAGCATTATTTAGAAGTACCACAGTTAAATGCAGCAAGGGTGACTGTAAGCATTTGGGAACTCCATCATACAAATTAATTGCTATAGTTTAACAAGCTACCATACTTCACCTGACATGCACTAACAAATTGCATGCACACTCTTAATCCACTGCAAATTCAACATATAATTGAGTCAGCTTTAGGGTGATGACAGATATCTTTTGGTAGATATATCTGCCACACAACCCTCAACAGTTTGCCTCAGCCCTTTCCCAAAGATTCCTACTCCCACCCTGGAAATAGCTGAGCTTTCATCTGTGCTCAGCTTGTCCAGCTCCCTGAAGAAGCCCATGAGTTCAACGTAACTGCAAGTGCAGATAAGAGTTTCTGCCCTTCTTCTACTCCTTTTTCTTTCCATAGAAAAGATCTGTGCAGCACTCCTATTTTGTAGAGATCAGCTGCAGTTTTTTGGGTGAAGTAATACCGTACTGAACAAGACTAAGCAGATACGGGAAGTACCAACTCATTGCTAAAATTCATCTGTACATATAAAAAGACTCTCCCTCCATACATTTTTCTTTCTTCAATTTTGGACATCCTACAACCTATTAAATCTAAATGATGCGTAAAACAAGACCAACGTGCACTTTCAGTGGCATGTTCTCTTACCAAGTGATAAAGTTCATTGTTTCCTAAATCAAGTTCTTCTAGTCGCTGCAGCTGGGCAAGTGATCTGTGAGATGAGATAAGTCAAAACAAAACCACATCAGACTAAACCAACAGAAACCCCATGTATTTGAATGAGCTCATTTTACTGAAACTCATACTTCAAATTACAACATATCGTAGACAGTTATTTTACTGCGCGTAGGCTCTTTGCAGTAGTATCTTACTGAAAAAATAATTTGGTTTGTCAGTATTACTGTATGCCCTTGAAACTTAAAACTTAGTATAGCAAATTAAATCGTTATTTTTTATTTTAGCCATCAGTCCCTTGGGGTGGACAATGCCATAGAGTTTAGCACTGTTGGCTAGATTTATTTTTAGGGGAAATTTACAGTTACGCATCTGGACAAAAATTCCCCATAGTGACCACATGTAACAGCATGACTCAAGACTCAGTAAATCCATAATTTATCTTCTCAACATGATCTATCCATTTCTGAAGTATTTCAGGTTGGATTTGAGGCTGCAAACAGAGGGAAGCCCAAAAGGATGTAAATGTAGTTCTCTGTACATTCTCTTTCTACTTCAAAAGCAGTCTGTTGTAGAGCTTTTGCTTAACTTCCCCAAAGCCGCAGTAGCAAAAAAGCCACTGAGACTCATCAGCTACATTACTGACAGAATTTTCCAGGAGCAATAAAACTGTCAGCATTTGTGATAGCTTCATTCTGACACTGCACGGCAAAACTTAGCTCGCAATTCCTATCTTCTGGCCACTGACATTTAAAGTGCCTTATGGCTCACTGCTATAAAGAGCCACAACCACAGTACGGTGTAGATTGACAAGGAAAAAGGACCCCAAAGCAACTAGGGAACAGATTCTGATTAAAATAGGTTAAATCTATTACAGTATCTATTAGATTATCTAAACAAACAGAACAGGAGTCACCAAAACTCTTGCAAGAAGCAGCCATGTAGTGAAGGAAGCAAACTCCTTCACTAGAGAAAAAAAGAGGCAGCCAAAAAGGATCCCCAAATTGTAAGATACCCAATTAATCTTACAAAAGACCACTGATTCCTCTGCCACAATGCAGACAGCATAGAAGACACTTCCCCCCCGCCCCCCCCTTCCCAAAACCACCGTGGGTGGAGTCAGACTTCAGACATCAGCCGGCCTAATTTGTCACCAAGGCTTTGATCTCTAGGTTTTGGAAGCTTTTGGTTCTTGAGCCCCCAGCACAAACACTTATTTAAATGTTGTGAAGGTCTAGAGTTGAAATCTATTACCCTATTTTCCCAGTAATGGAATTTTATCATGAGAACAGCCCAAACCACCACTCCCACTGCGATGTGCTCGTTCAATGCGTGCAGGAAGAAACATTTGGTGCTGCTGTATTTTATAGTTATATAGAGCAAAAGCAATTGATACAGACTGCAGGCTCCTGCAATCAGAAGTAATGGATGTAACCAGGTGTTGCTAAAACAAAGCTGTATCTCAAATGTTGTCAACAGACACCCAGTATTTTTTTCTAGCTGTCATTGAGTTTTGTATGTGAGTAGATCTTAAGAATAAAAACATTTTGTGTTAATATAATAAAACACATTAAATGCCACTTACTCAGGTAAATATGTCAGCAAATTTTCTCTAAGTTCCAGTGAAGCCAGGTTATAAAGACTAGGGGAAGAAAAAAAAAAAAAAAAAAGAACAAAGCACATTTTAATGGAAGAAAGTGTGTGCTTAGACCAGACCATCATATGAAAAGGCAGCATACAAAGACTGGAAGTTTTTGCTTGTTTCTCTGTGATACTTCAACACACTAAAGCTAGAAAGTAAAGAGACAAAACACAAATTTCTATTTGTTAAAAGGTCAGCAGTGGCAGGTTACTGAAGAGAGCACAGTCATATGAATTGCATTTACGTACTCGCTTGCAGAATCTGGCGTGGGCTACCAAAGTTACAGAGCATCAGGTAAACCCATCACCGTCCTAACGACGGCATGCTCATTACTGTAAGTGACATTACGCTTCTAAGCGGCTCACTTACTCCATATCCCAGGCTTTTACTAACATCACCATAGCAACATTGAGATTTTTCAGGGCTTTATTTATGACTAAATGGAACACAAGGAGTCAGACATTATCCCAACACTATAATCTGCTCTAATCCTCCAACGTCCCAGGGAAAAATAAAAATCGGATATGGTGACTGCAAATAAGTGGTTCCCTACAACAGAATACGTTCTGGCCCGGTGTGCAGGTGAGGGGGACAGTGTGCTAGGCCTCAAACAAAATCTAGATTAAAAAAAGGAATTCCGCTAAATTTGAAATACATGTTAAATCTAAACCCAAAATGTTTTTGTATGTACACCTTAGGAAAAAAAAACAAACAAACAAGCTCATGTATTCAGACCACTTAAAACCGAAATATTTGTTTTCACTTCAAACAATACTCACATACTAAATTACAGGATCATCAGTTAGCCCCAGTAAAAAAGCTGCTGATAAAACTAAAGAAAACCCTTCATATTGCAACTCCAATACAGCTATGTAAGCAGGAAAAGCAACATAACTGATGTAACGAGTTATTAAAGGGAAAAGATTTTTCACGGATTGACTTTGGATGGCGTCTGAAAAATACATCCTTATTTCAAGCACTGATTTCATATTGCATTCAGAAAACAGTGAACTAAATTTCACAGGAGCTTTGATTATGGTCTGAACAGTACTCCCCAGCTTTTACAATAAGCACATTCTACCCAACGGGTTGTGCATTCCTCCAGAAGAAATACAGTTAAAAAATACCGTATAGGTGAAGACATTTTAATAGAAGCCTATTACAAATTCAATTAAAAGATAAGTGAGAATAACTCAGTTACTGCCACTCAAAATCATTGGACAGAAACAAGGTAGTAAGGAAGCCTTCATTCCAACGACACAAGAGAAAACTCTCACATAAAAATATTAACATTATAAAAAACAAGTCAAGATGGGACATGATATCCGACATCCTCATGTAAACCAGACCAGTGGAGGAGGAGAGGGAAGAGGTGATGGAGAACTGTTTCTCTCTGACAGGAATGTGGGTCTGCTCTTATTCACATTACCACCCGCAGATTGCCACTACATTTTTGTTTACAGGTTTTCCAGAAACCTATTCCAATCTTCCTTCGAATTTCTCACTTTCTCTTCAGGCTCATATTAGGTGAGGCCCATGATTCACTTTTATCAAGAGAATACAAAAAGGATGCGCACACCGCCAAGCTGCCTTGTAATCTTGTGTTTGCAGATCACCCCACATCTTACTTATCTCCCTCCCCATCATGTTGAAGTGTCAATGAGTAAAATGGTGCAATCTCTTAATTTCTCTTCTTACATCAGACACCACTTCAGCTGTAGTTAAACAGAAGTCTTTGTCAGCAAAACCACATTCAACAGCAAGAAGTTGGGAACCACCACCTTAACCAGCCTCATCATATCATTAAACTGGGGCAGGCCAGAGAATCAGCTCAGGAAATTGATCCTGCTTAAAAATAACCCAGCAAAAAAGAGTAACGCAGATCCCTAATCCAACACAGAATAAATCCCCTTAAACACCTGGGCCAGCACAACTGCCAAGACGGCGCAAGGAAGGCATGTGGACTGCCCAAGGTAGCGGCGCTACGAGGACTCCCTGGGTAGCTGTGCCCTCGTGGGAACCACCAACAGCTGGCTCTGCATCCAACCGCGTAGCGTGTGTTTTGGAGACCGACTGCGGCCGATCGCAGTCCCAGGCTAAGTTATCTTCTTATGGGAGTCAGCTACCTATGGGATTACATTTTCACCTCTAATGACACAGCTTTCTGGAGGAAAAATGCTTTATTCTACAGCTGTTCTCACCCACAGCGTGCTCACAACTACAACTCTACCCTGGAACAAAACAAAGATGCTGCCCTCCACCCCTTTAATCTATCCTTTCTACTTCTGCCAAGGTCTTGCGTCCAAACCCAATGTAAGGGGACCCCAACAAGCAATGTAAAATAGCAACTAAGTCTGTGAAGTTTATACCAGCAAAGCTACGCCATTAGACTGAAGTATTATGTTGAAGGTGGATCCATCTGAAAGCGAGGCCAGAAAATGAGAGGAAATTTTTGACCCATCACTCTTAAATTTCAACCAGTTACAGAAGCGGCTCCCGGCAAATCTACGTGCTACGATTTAAAATGGGAAATGTGACAGTTATCATATAAAATAACATCATATAAAAGGCATGCCGATGTATTGAAGCACCAATCTGACACATTACAGAGCAGAGGTATAGCTCTTCCTTAAATTTACCAACAGGTTAACACATTGTATGTTCACTAACATTTTTCTGGTTTTTAAGGTATGTTAAGAAACAGGATTTTTAGTCATTTGCATGAAAAATCCTACACTTCTTGCTATTTTTCAAATATGTTTTCTCATTTAATAACACATTCTCTCCAGAAAGTGCAATTCTGTCACCTAGATTCCAAAGGAGAAAGAAAAAAACCCTAAGTACTTTTCCAAGACTACTATCATGAAGAGCTATTTCACAGAAGCTTGTAAAAAGCATTAATATCATAATAATTCTCACTGCAAAAGCTACCACACACACCTCAAACACCGAGCATGTGTGTGAAATTACTGAGCAGAAGGCAACAGCCAAACCAAGCGGAGGATGCAGTAACTGAAATAATGACAAAGTTTCCCATCTCAGCTTTCCATCTGATTTTTGGTGTAAGGGTGGAACCAAATCAAACGTAAAGGTGCAAGTTGGCTAAAAACATCATTTTCAGTATTCAGTACAAACCAGATACACTTATTCAGTGCTGAACCTAAAGTAACTGTAGATACCAGTATTCATCATGTGAGCTACAAGAATGAAAAGAAGAATGTGCAATAAATAATTAAGAACAAAACTAATAGCAACAAAGTAGTCCATAAATGCTGGAAATGTCTTTCCTGAGCATTCCTGTCAGGATTTGAGAGAGAAACTCTGAATCCAACACAGCCTACAGATAGGCAACACTGCAAATACTCCTTCCTGTCAGCTGCAGCGGTCTCCTCCAAAATAAAGGTAAGACTAGAACCAGACACTAAGATCGGAACCAAAGCATGTTCTTCTTCTTCCAAAAAAGTCAGTTTTTCTTTGGATTAATTGCAAAGGGATTATCAGTAGCAACATGCCCTACAAAATAACCATTTCAAAAGCAGACAACTCTCTGGACAACAGCAATTCACTGCAATAGGTAAAACAACATCATATGCAGTTAAAAAAAAAAAGGAAAGAAAAAAGAGAGAGAGACATGTTCCCAAGTTAGCTTGGATGGAATTACATTTTCAGTGTACCACATACATTAAATATATTCTGTCGTGTAAAGTTATAAAATACAAAACTGAGATGAGTTATCCTAGTGCTTTAACTTCATCAAGGAAAGCTGCATCATTACCCTACGCAAGGGGACAGAAAGTCAGCCTGAAGTGTGACAATGGATAGCACTATATATCCCATTTTTATCCCAGTCTCATTTTTATACCAGTCCCTGCAACAGGACTGGGAGTGCTCAAGCCCTTGGGATACACCTGCAAAGGCTCCTGAGGAAAGCAGTGGGAAGCACAGTAAGACATATGCTATATTCTTGTGAAAAGGAAGTTAAAAATACAAAGGTGGAAAGACAAATGTGGAAAAAGCTAGGAGAAAATGAAGACAGATGATAAAAGGACTAATAAAAAAGCTAAAGGTGCTCAGTCAATAAAAACTGGACAACAGCCTTCTCTTCTCTCAGTAATAAAAGTCACATATTTTGACCTTATGTCAAGAGTGCCACACAGCTGAGCATGCAAGACAAGAAGTCAGGCTTTGGGAAACAAGGAAGCGAAGCTGGAAGAGATGAAGATCTAAACCACCTGCAAAAATGAATGGTCCCATCTGTACCCTTTCCAGCAAATTTCATTTGGTTATGGGAATGTAAAATCCCAAATGTAGTTTTTCCTCACGTCTGTAAGACTGCAAAAAGAAGGCAGAGATAGGAGAACAGGCACGGTCCCCATACTTAGATGGAACAAGGGAAGGTCCTACACAGTAAGGATGGCTAAAGTGAGTACACAGCAGAGATTCTGAATTTGGTATAGTATTATGTTTTCTATGCAGCAGTGGTGATGGCTGCAGAACACAGTCCAAGGATGCAGCACAGAGAAATGAGATATGAAGTCCACATCCTGGCTGTTTCCACCAGTTCCAAAGGACTTCGGTTCGCAGGGCCAGCATCTGAAGATTACTGTTACTTTGATAATGCCTGCCCCCGCATCTCTACACAGCACGTACACTTTGAAACATTCATCATGACACTAGACTGGGAATGAAGGGAGTTTAAACTAGGCAAACTCTTTTTCTTTTTTTGTGCAGAAAAAAAAATAAATGTTTTTTCGGTCCATCAAGGGTCTTCCAAGAGATGAGAAGGTAACTGTGGTACTCTGACTACAGCATACAGAATGCATGAAACTCACCATATTTAAATATATTACAGCCCATCACCACTGCCCAAATAAAACTACCAGTAACATGTATGACCCTGCCCCAGGACACACCAGTTAGGTGACTAGTCAGTCATCTGACAGGATCCTATTAAGCTACTGCCATCCCACAAGGCTTCTAGCTACAGACCGACAATTCAT